TTTTATTTGAATTCTACAAATCTGTAGAATGCAAATAAAAGGTTTGATCAAATTTGGGTTGGTAAGTGTTGAGATATTTTTGTTTAAAATTTTAATTTAAGTGCCAAAATTGCATATATATGCAGATCGGCAAATTTGATTGGCCCACATGACAGGTGAAAATCACCCAGGTGAAAATAGAAATACTCTAATTTAAATATTTAATTAATAATATATTAAATAATTAAATAGAATAAGTTTAACCAATTTAAATATATTTAGACATATTTACATCACTATACATATTAGATTCACTACTATCATTAACTTCAAAGTTATTAAATTATTCGGTAAAGCTTTCACTAAGACTGGAACTTCATGTAGATTTGAAGGTTGCAATCTTTCCCTTATTTGCCTTTTTGGTTTTGGCTTTCTTAGAAGATTTCTTAGACTTGACTAAAACTTAAAACATTTTTAAAAATATAATAAAAAAACTTTAAACTTTGTTAGTAGGTAGTATATAAAAAAAGCTTTAAAAAAAAAAAATTTTAATATAAAATGAAAAAAGGTTGATTTAATAAAGAGATTAATTGGTTTAGTACTAATTAATTCAAACAGATACAAAAGGTTGTGATTTGATATATTGTCAAACAATGTTTAATTGTCAAAGCAATATTGATTGTTGATTTAATTATATCCTATTTATAGTAAAATTTCTTGGCTGATTTCACATAATTTTATATAATTAATTAAATATACAATTAAACAAATATGAATAATTTTTATACCTGTATATTAAAAATATTTATTTAATTCAAATTAATTCAAACTAATTCCAAAAAAGTTTAATATATTTATAACACTTTCATAAACTAAATCAATATTTATTTTCACCTGTAGGTCGATAGCATAGCAGTTATGCTCCCAGGTTACAAACCATAAAGTTGCCGGTTCAATTCCTTCTAGTGGCGAAATAATAAAAAAACCAAACATGGAAGTGAAACACCCCGGGGTACAGGGAATCCAGGATATCTACGGATAGACGTATTCGGGGAATAATTATTCCGAGAAGCTGTGGCTGTGAAGAAAAGCTGTGCTAGAACCCCGATTTGGAATAACCGAAGTCACGAGATGTAATGTGAGGTCTAAAGTCTGAGAGGGTACTACATAAACTCGTGGCGCCACCTGATTGGCTCGTGAAATAGCGGTCCAAGGATAAGGTATTTCGGCCTCTCCGGAGTGTCGTGCAGACGGTCGGACCTAGGCCCCAATGAGAGAACCGGGGAAATGTCGGACAATAGATACCAGGTGGATATACATGATACCCATATGGGGTTATAAAGGTCCTGTGACACTAGTAGCGTAGAGTCAACTATAATATAGCTGGACCAAAGTCATGACTAGACTTGCCGAAGAAATAAAAAAAAAAAAATTTTTTTTATATTGTATAACCCAATAATTTTTAAACCAATCAAATCAAATATTTACCATACTTGTTAAACATAATACTGTATAAATACAATACTAGCTTAATTTACACAGAACTCTAGATATCTCTAATATAGATCATAATTGATCTGCATAAATTTAAAGGTTTTTGCTATTTTTAAAATCAAGTAAATTTGCTAAAAATTTAATTATTATATAAAATTAATTTAATTTGCTAAAAATTAAATTATCATATCTATTTTTATAAATCAAAATAATATATATAGAATATGTATATTTTAGTGCTAAACAAATTTACTTAGAACACAAAATTAGAATCAATTAGTAAATTTTTAAAAATCATAATATTTTATATACAGTCAAATCTCTCTAAATGCATAGTGTCAGAACCATAGTAAAAATTTTTAAAAACATGTATTTAAAGAGGCTATGCATTTAGAGAAGTAAAAATCTATAAGTGTTATATTAAGTTGGGCTGAAAAAAAGGCATGCATTTAGAAAGATTTTATATAGATATGCATTTAGGAAGGTCTAACTATACTGTAGTTTTAAAGTAATTATCGTAATCTTATAGCCATATTTGCTAACACTAAGTTTTTTTATTCTTATATAGTATTAAGGCTAGCCACTAAAATTATGCTGGCTCATAATTTAACAAAACTACTTTAAACAAAACTACACCTAGATTAGCACAAATAAAATATAAAAAAAGTAAATTTAAACCCAAACCAAGTATAAAAATTCAACTAATCATCTATTTTTTAAACATGCACAACTTAGACCTGTAAGTGAATTCAGTATTCACCTCGGTGAATTCTAAATCTTCATAACTTCAAATATTAACTTTAAATGTATCTCTCTAAATCTGTCACTTTTGTCATTTAAAAAAAAATCATGTGGATTTAGACTAAAATAGCCAATCAAAATGTTGATTGATGATTTTCTAAATTCTAAAACAAATCTGTAATGCCAATCCAAATTAGAAAATATCCCGAATTACTGAACTAAGAAAATTTAATCACTATTATGGCTTAGATCACGTTTTTTTGCTGCGGCTAGTTCACAATGCACATATTGACTATTTACCTATTAGCGTTAGAATGTGTAATAACAATATATTATGTGAACTATATACATTAAATAAATGATTATGATCTTAAACTATGCATTTAAAACTTTATTGGTATATATATTGATTAGACTGTCCAGAATTATGCAATTATAAATTTGTATATTAGGACTTTTTAAAGACCTAAGGACCCTAGGTCCTTAAATTTGGACTTAGTCTTTAAAGACCAGGTTTAAAGACCAGGTCCTAAAGTCCCGGACTTTACCAACCCTAACCCTAATAAATATTAAAAGAATTTTTCGTCGATAAAGAATAAACGAATAAGGGAGAAATCAATTGATTAATTAAAATAGACGATTTACTTGATGATTTAATAGGGTGCGAAAGCAGTAGCTCGTCGTCCTCTATAAATGAGTAAAAGAGAATATGTAGTTCAGTATCTTACATATGCAAATATCATTAGAACGACTCGAAATACAATTAAATGTAACTATATATACCTTCCACGACCTCTGAAAGTTGGAGCAAAGTAAGCACCATGACCATAAAATCCACCTCGCCAGCTAGCGCGGGCACCCCGACCGCCCCTGCCTCTAGCATAGCCAGGAATGTTTGTACGTTTCGCAGTAACCTATAAAATTTAGGCGAATAATCGGATTAAATTTCCTTAAAGTATTAAAATATTTACTATGAAGCCATACCTTAATTGGACGTCCACGTAGCACCGTATTATCCAACAACATTGCATTAGCAACTGAACTAGGATCAGCAAACTCTACGTATGCATATCTATGGTGCAATTGAGAACTTATAAATAAAAATAAAATTTTTACGTACGAATCATAAACAAAAAATACCCTTTAGGATGACCGCTAAATTTATCACAAAGAATTGTGACTCGATTTATTGTACCACATGATTGAAAGTGATTCTGTAAATCTTCAGGAGTTGCAGAATAATCCACCTAAACCAGAATTAAAAATGTAAATATGTAATATAAATGAGCATTAAATTGTTGACAGTAAGGATTAATGCTTACATTGCCAACATAGATTGATCGAGCATCAATTGCTTCTTTGTCTTCTAAGAATCACAAAAAGTCTTTACTACAACTTCAAGCAAATAATATTCAAATATGTACTAAATAATAATACCTTCTGTAGTTAAATTCATCTCCTTTTCAACTTGAGCTTGCATTTCGCGAAGTTTTGCTGCTTCTTCTTCCATTTCTTTTACACGTTGTTTCATTGCCTCGAGCTCCTTTACCAAAAAGATAGTGTGAAATGTTCTGTCTAACTAGGCATATAACGGAATTACTCTATCTTAAAAAGACAATTACCGCTTCGGCATCTTCCCCTTCTTCTTGATGTTCATGATTTTCTTCGATTTGAACAGTAACTTGATTTTCTTCAGCCATGATTGAAGGATATTTCAGAAGAGATGAGGAATAAAATCTTCCGTTCATAAATCCCATAGAAGATAGTGTTTGATTTAGACATTTTTCATTATGATTCTCGAAGCGTAAGGGAATATAAAGCATTCCATAAGAAACGAGCTGCAACCACACAAGCAGCTAATCAACGTTGTTTGCTCATAGAATCTTTAACGTTGTGCTCGTGACTTGCTCTCCCAAAAAACTTGTTTTGAGATGGCAGGGAGGTTAAACAGCCCCAAAGTGGAACGCAGGCAAAAATAAAAAATCAAGGTAGCAAAAGCAAAGTGTTAAAAGACCCAAAACCGATAATTAACATACCAACTTTTATAAAGACAAGTATTTTTTTTTTTTTTTGCTTGATGTCGCTGGTTTTTTTTTTATCCTATTTTGTGTATTTTTTCAAGTTTTTTTCTTTGTTATTTTTTTTTTTGACTTTTTTTCTGTTCTTTTAATAACTTTTTAAAACGACATCACAGCACTTTCAAAAAAGATTTAAAAAGACGTACAAACCTTTTACAAGAGCAGATCTGAGTGTATGTTCGTATGTGAGTTTCTGAAAATGTTGAAAAGAGGATATTAGACAAGCAAAAGTAGAAATCCCGGCGCTTTCCGAAATTCCGAATTATGATTGTTATGTCTGTTAAAACTTATATGGGGTATTATCTATTAAAACAGCCCTTTTTTACATATATTTCATTTTGAGATAATTGAGTTTAATCACTT